AAAAAAAAAAAAAAAAAAAAAGAGACGGCTTTGGGGTCAGACAGACCCGAGTTCTCTTTCTGCTTGCTGTTTACTAGCTGTGTAACTGTGGGCAAATTGCTTGACTTCTCTGTGCCTCAATTTCCCGTAACTGTAAAGTAGGGGAAGTAATAAATAAATAAAGCAACACATTTGTGAAGTAGAGAAGTACCTACTTGACAGAGTTGGGAAGATTAGAGAGAGGACTTTTGTAAAGTGTCCAGCACCTGCTAGGCAAATAGTGAATACTTGAACAAAAGGACGTGTAGACTCATGGGAGACCGCTGCTTTTCACTGGTGTCTAATGTGTAATACGGAGTCAAGACTATGACCTCCACACACAGAACCAGGAGGGTTTTGCAGGCATATCACAAAGGTAATAAGAAACAGGAAGAAAAGCCCAACGAACACCACCCTGCTGGGAACAGCCACATGATCGTTTGTTCATTTCTTTAATTTTCAAAAACGAGTAAGCAGACAATCTTGTGCCCTTTGAATACCCAATAAAAACGCTCACTGTGCAGACCGCAACCGTCTCAGAAAGGATGCATCATTTCTAGTGAATATCAAAAAAGTCATCACAATGACATGTCCCCCTGCCCCCACATCACCCTCCCCGCCCCCAGAGTTACCCAAATACTAGTAGGAAATTACAAAAAACGAAAAAACAGCAGCCCGCCCTCCGCCTTGCCCCATGAGTAGTGTTACGTGAGTCAAGTGTTAGTGCCACGTGTACGAGACGTGCGGTCAGGACGGCAGACCACAGGGATCCTGGGAGTCGGTGGTGGAGGACCAGTAGCAGCAGCAGTGGGAAGCCTCCCTCCCCTGGAGGGACAGCCGTCGAGGACAAACGTACGCCATAAGACGGGGCACAGCCAGGCAGGTCTTCCTGGATCCCCTGGCCTTACAGCTCTGTGAGCCGAGAGGGGGTGGTGGCTTGTCCTAGGAAGCTGGGCAGGCCTGTGCTGTGTGCACAGAGGAGCATCCTGCCCTTCCTGGGGGGCACCGGGCATCCCTCTCCACAAACTTGGGCTTCAGGTGGGGGCTGGCCAGAGCAGAGACGCTGGGGGCTTGGAAACTTCTGGGTGAATCAAACACACGGGTCTCCTACAGACAACTAAAGCTAACATTTGGAGAAAGCTAACATTTCCACCAAATAAGACTGGGAATCTAAAGAGAAAAGGAAAAAGGAATGCACCTTCTCTGCCCCCAAACAGCTCAGAAACCAAGGCAGAGACTTGGTGCAAGGTCCAGCTGGCAAAGAAGAGATGCGTCAGCCAGGCTGGCCGGGGCAGAGACCAGCCTCCCCGCAGACTCCAGGCTCCACAAAGGAAGGAGCCCCTCCACGGGTGCCACTTCTCCCCTCCCTTCTCAGCTCCCCCGCACCCCAGAGAGACAGGTGGAATGGATGGGAACAAAGGATCCGGATGGGACAGAACTGAGAGGCAGGAGAGGAGTGGGAGGAGACAGTAGGAGGGAGGAGAGGGCACCAGACGGAGGGCCTTGGGAGGAACCAGGACCTAGGCCTGGCCGCAGCTCCCTCCTGCGGAAGGCTGGAGGGGGGTCCTGGCCAGGGTGGCTGCAAGAAACAGCCGGCTGCTTCCTGACCCAGAAAGCCAGCCCCCACGGCAACTCCAGCCGGCCCCAGGTGGGGGGAGGCAGAGGTGGGGGTGGCAGCATATGACCAGGAGAGGAAGGCAGGCCAGGCCAAGGGCCCCCCCACCGGTCTCCAGAGAGCAGGGCTGCCCACAGAGGAGAGAAAACTAGAGTTTAGGGGAAACACACATCACCACCACATAATTTCCATGATAACTTGATTTTAAATACGCAAGGAGGGGGTACAGCTGGGAGGCAGAGATTATTGCCTGCAAGTCTTCAAAAGCAGCCAAGATCAACAGCAGGCCTACAAGCCAGCAAGGCACGCACAGAGCATCCCCAGGAGATCATCAATCCAGCCCCTCCCCCAATTTGGGAGATAGGGAAACTGAGGCCCAAGGAGGGGAAAGGAGTGCCCAAGGTCACTTAACAGGATGAGGGCAGAGGGGGGCCTGCAATCCAGGAGTCCTGAGTCTGATGGGACTACTTCTTTTCGGCCACACAGCCTTGCTGTATGCAAACGTACTGTCCCTCTAAAAGGGAAGGTTTGAAGGAAAAACTCTCCCTGGGGGTGTGGAGGAGGGGTGGCCACAGATGGTCAGAGACAAACACGGGACATGGAACGGTCAGTTAAAAGGCTGACAGAGGAGGACAGGCATTGTTCCCCACCCACCTGCCCACGACCCCAGTATAAAAGTTTCACAATATTATACACTTCTTCCTAACCTCTAGAAAACATGGATTAAAACCGCCCTAGGACAAGGATATTCTGCCAGTCACTGTACAGTCGTATCTCTTTGCAGTGGTTACTTCCGTGGTAATGGGGAGGGGAAACACGACTGACTTTAAACCAGAGTGTACAGTGGCCACCTTGAAATTAACTTGTTAATAAATCCTGTGCAAAACGAGCAAGCCCCTACCATTAGGTGAATACGTGTTTCAGGTATTCATTTACACACACGGGGGAGGAGAGGAAGGAGAGGAACCCCAGGTGACCCGTGGCTGCTCAGAAGTGCGTCTCCTTCTCTGTGATGGCCGCGATGCTCCCATCGCTCTTGAGTTTGGCGTCACAGTCATTAACCGTCACCGTCCGTGGGCCCGCCCCAAGCTTGCCCCGCATTTTCAGTTCGGCGCTGGGGACTGTCAACTTCCGGAGTTTCTAGAGGGTTGGAGAGAAGAATTGAGTGAGACCAGCTGCCAGGGGCCTGGGGTCACCTCAGATTCTCCCAGCTACCTGCCTTGGCGCTGGGGAATTGGCAGAACGAGGTCCAGGCCCCAGCTCTACCTCTTACAGTTCTATGCTGGATGGTGGATGACCTCTCTGGGTCTCAGCTTCCCCCTCTGGAAGATGGGGACAGTGCATGTCCCCATGCCTGGCACCAGGTGAGGAGTAAGGAAACAGACTGAGGAAGCGCTTAGCCTTGCACCTGCCTACAGAAGGCAGCTCGGACCTGAGGACTGTCACCAGAGTCCACTGCCTTGTCCCTTCCCTGGGGTGTGAGTGACACTCCCATGCAAGCCACCTGCACTCTATGAAGTGGGACAATGGAACCTACCTGGAAGGGCTGCTGGAGGTGAGTGGGAAGGCACCCCTGGGGCTGCTCCCAGGACCAATGCTGGAGGGGAATGTCTGTGCTGGAGGGCAGAAGCGTGACCACTCATCCCAAAGCTCACAGCCTCAGGCCTTACGCAGTGGCCAGCATTGGACTGGGCACAGGCGGATGGCTCCCGGACTCCTGCCACCACTGCCCTGCCTCACAGACCACGCAGGGCCCTTCCCCAGGACCGCTGTCTCAGTTTCTTCTACACTCCCCAGGTGTCCCGGAGAGAAGATTCTGGGCTAGGATTTGGGAGGCCCCTTCTGGACATAAACCCTTTCCCCGGGAAGGCTGCAAGGACTTCTGGGTGGTTGGTTTCTCAGATCAGGGTTCCGTCTTCCCTTTCAGATCCTGCCGTGCTTGAGAGGTTGAACCTACACTGTCCAGGTATGAACAGGCAGGCTCACCCGTGCTGGTTAATAGGCACCTCCTGTGTGCCAGGCACTGTGCCAGGCTCTGACACAGATGGAGGGTTAGAGTCTGGGCTCTGGAGCCTGGGGTCTGGGATTGTGTCCCGGCTCCACTAGCCAGTAAAGGACATGAAACTGTGCCTCCGTTTCCTCATCTTTGAAAGGGGGATAATCACAGTACCCGACTTATCATGAGGGTCAGATTAGTCAACCCTAGAACAACACTTACTTACACGTTATCTTCTATTAGCACGATGCATCCTCAGAGCAAGACTCTGAGGCGGGCACCACCGCCCCCAATTTCCCTTCCAGATCCTTCCTGTCCATCAGCAGAACCTTTGCAGGAACTGGGGCTCAGGGAGGTGCTCTAACTGGCACGTGGTCTCTCAGTAAGGAGGGCCTGGCAGACGGGTCTGATCATCTCCAAAGCATTTGCTCTTGAACAAGCCCTGTGGTCCAGCAGGCAGGTGTGAGCCCAGGGAGATGGAGTTACTTTAGAAAGAAGCACCTCCCCCATCTGCCCTCCCACTCGGGGCCTAGGATGGCCTCTGGAGTATTTATCAGGAGCACCGGCATTTCTGAACATCAAAAGGCCACCTGGAAGTCCAGGCAGGAAACTTCCAGCGGTTGAGGTTTTAAGACCGCAGGTCAGCTCCCCTCTGGCCTCTTTAGGTCTGAGATCAGAATTAACCAGCTGCCCTTAACCTACATTCCCTGCAGGTGCCAAGGAGCCTAATTAACTTTGAGGCAAGAGCAGGCTGGGCAAAGGACCTTCTCTCTTGGCTTGCTCCTTCTGGCCGGACACAGAGCTGTTTCTGGGGCCCAGGCCGTCCGAGTGGGCAGGTGGGCAGGGCTGTGACCCTGGAGCAGAGACAGGTCCCCCAGTGGTATGCGGCCCATCCAACAGGGAAAGCTGAGGCAGCAGCGCCCAGGGGACGAGCCCACAGACTCCTGTCTCTGCTCTCTGTCCCGAGGCTGTGTGCCCTTGGGCAAGCTGCTTCCTTTTCTGGACTTCAGCATCCACCTGACAGGACGGCTGGGAAGAGTAAATGACCTGGTGCTTGTCAATTGCCCAAAGCAGCCTCTGGCACACACAAGCACCCTGTTGCTCGCTAAACGTGCAGAGATCCGCTCTACTACCTTAGCTGCTGGCAGGAGGCGGAGGGTAACAAGCATGGGTGCTCGGTGGAAGACAAGCCTGGCTCAAAGCCAGTGCCTGCGAGAGACTGTACCGTCTGAGACTGGGGGGAAAGTTCCAGAACAAGCAAGTCCACAGAGACAAGGGTCAGGCCAGCGGCTGTCTGTGGGCAGGAACAGTGCTTACCTGAGAATGGGCTCAAGGATCTCATAAGGGTGATGGCTGCACTCTGTGGAAGGTTACTAAACATTATTTAATGGCACGCCTGAAACGGGTGCATATTATGACAGCTGAAACACACTCTGACTACACTGTCAAGAGGAAATTTGGGCTGCTAGCTTTTGGCTGTGTGATCTTGGGTGAGTGATTTGTTCCCCTGAGCCTCAGTGTCCCTCACCTGTTAAATACAGAAAGGGACACCTATCGTCCTGGCTTACTCCGAGGACAGCAGGAGAGATGGCAAGTGGAGTGCCTGGCACGGCAGTGATGCAGGATAGGTGCTCCCCAAAGCCAGAGGATCAGAATTAACAGGACAGGCAGAGCTAACACTTGCTCCCCTCTGCCCCAGATCCTGGTCTCAGTGCTGTCCCGATGGAAACTCCCTGAGTTCTCACATCCGCTCTAACCTAGGTACCACTGCTATCCCATTTGACAGACAGGGAAGCTGAGGCTGAGCTCCTAGAGACCGGCTCAGCCCCAAGAGCGCCCCAGAGACACCTGGAGCACAGCGTGGTGGTGAACAGCTGCCACAGGTTTCCTGCAAGACAGGCGGGGGCACATGCCCATCATGCCCATTGTTTGGATGAGGACGCTGAGACCAGGGTGGCATGGGGACTGGCCCTGCTCACCAGCCCTCCCGGGGCTGCCTCACCTCAGGCAGTGTGCCCTCTGTCTTCCACACCTTGATGCAGATCCAGAGCGGGATGCAGAGCATGGAGGACAGGGCCATTAGCCAGCCGATGCCATAACCCCAGGCCGGGTAGGTGTAGACATTATTGTACTTGAGCGGCTTGTACTTGACCAGGAAAAAGATGAAGATGCCCTGTGGAGGGAGGGGTGGGGGAGAAGTCCCTGGAGGGTGGCCCACAGAGGGCCCAGAGCCCAGGCAGGGAGCTGCAGGAGGCCGGCAGGGCAGAGGGTCGGCCCGTCTGACAGCCCTGAAGGGACAAGGCCCTGCCGGGGTCCACAGCATCTGCGGCAGGGCAGCCCGGAGGCCCGTCCCATAGGTGTCAGACACTCAGTGAGCGTGAACCTGGATTCCCCACTCTCACAGGTCTCACAGGGACCTCGCCTGGCTGAGACCCTCCCATCCACCCCCGGGAGCCTCTTCCCCAGACTCTGCCCAGTGGGGAATTTCTGCTTATTTCCAGTGACTTCTCGGGGCTGGTTTCAGTCACCTTTCAGGATGATGAGGTTCTGTGAAGATATCTGAGCTACTTCCGGTGCCAAGAAATGGCTAGAAAGCAACGGGCTGCTTTTTAAATTAAACATCACTCACAAAGGCCCCTCTGGCCTGGTCTCGGGCAGAGGGTGAGCCTCAATGTCACCCTCGGCTCTGCGGCCTTCGAAGCTGACAATAAAGCCAAGCGTTCCCACTCCTGTAACGCCCAGCCCCCACTGAGGTCGGCCCCAGGGCCCAGTTTGCGAGCCTAGAACCCGAGACCCTGCGGAAGGAAGCGAGGTGCTCACGGTCACACAGCGAGCTGGTGGAAGAGGTGGGGTCCCCGGGAAGCCCCTCCCTTGCCCAGAACCCAGCCCGGCCCGTGGCTCCAGCTCTGCAGGGTGGCTCGGACCCAGGGCTTGCAGCCCGGGCCGGGCCGGGGGCTGTA